AATGAAACTAAGTACCCAAATGAAACACCTTAACAGAACAATATTTCTTCTACATCTGATGCACGCTAATCTTTTCCACCATACTCATTAAATTGATTTCACTATCACTAGTAAGTGGACCAGCATCCAAAAAATGGCCATCAAGAGGAGAATAAAGAAATTGGAATATATTCACATAATGCCATATCATATGGTAATAAAGAACAATAAAATAAAGTTTACCCAAACAACATGAGTGACTCTTAGAGGTACAATGTTGATTGGAAAAAAATAACAAAAAGACTACTTAAATTATGATAACCATTTTCATAAAGCTCAGAAGCAAACACCATTAAACACCTTATTGGGAAAGGATAAATGTATATGTAATAAAATGAAAAGAAAGCAAGAGAATTATAAATACAAAATTGTTAATGATGGTTATCTCTGAAAAACAGAAAGAGACTGGGTTTGGGAAGGAAATACAGGTGGCTTCAATAGAATCGGTAATGTTTTGGTTCTAAATTTGTGTACAGGTTCATAGCTTTCTTCTTAACATGTTTCATAATATATATACAAGCATATGGAACCTATGCATCAAATAATAAACATGAAAATTAACAAAAACAAAGTACTAAGTATTTAAGCATATTACATAAATGATTCCTACAAGATGAAAAACAAAAAGAAATGTTCATTAGAATCTGTATATTATGGGGTGTATATAGATATGTGCACACAACACACACACACACACACACACACACAGACACACATGCCCTCAGACAACCTGAGTTCATTTATAGATGGATTTTTTCCACCTCTGCCACACCTGAGACAGCAAGACCAACTCTTCTCTATATTTTCTCTTCTTTATGATTTTCTTAATATTTTCTCCAGTTTTATTATAAGAATACAGTATATAACACATATAACATACAAAATATGTGTTAATTGACTATATATGTTATCAGTAAGACTTCAGGTAAACAGTAGTCTATTAGTAAAGTTTTCAGGGAGTCAAGACCTACACATAAATTTTCAACTGCATGAGGGATGAGTGCCCCAAACCCCTGGTGTATATATATATTTTTATATTTTAACTGTATATATACACACACATATTTATATGTATATAATATATACATACATATTTATATATAATATATACATATATAATTTTAACTGTAGCATTTCTTTAAAGTTTTTACTATTTTTTGCTTAAAAACAAGTGCTGAGTTGTAGGGTATCCTAACAGCTAGCTACAGCAAGTACTCATACATCAACTACATGCAAATTAAAATCACCAATAAGCAATCCCACTCCTCGGTATCTACTCAGAGGAAAAGAAGTCATTATACGAAAAAGATATTTGCACATGCAAATTTATAGCAGCCCAATTTGCAATTGCAAAAATATGGAACTGGACCAAATGCCCACTGATCAATGAGTAAATAAAGAAAATGTGATATACACCATGGAATACTACTCAGCCATAAAAAAGAATGAAATAATGGCATTCCCAGCAACGTGGATGAAATCATAGACCATTGTTCTAAGTGAAGTGACTCAGGAATGGAAAACCAAACATCGTATGTTCTCACTCAGAAGTGGGAGCTAAGCTATGAGGATGCAAAGGCATAAGAAGGATACAAAGGACTTTGGGGACTTGGGGGAAAGGGTGGGAGGTGGGTGAGGAATAAAAGACTACGCATTGGGTAGTGTACACTGCTCGGTTGATGGGTGCACCAAAATCTCAGAAATCACCACTAAAGAACTTATTCATGTAACCAAACACCACCCATTCCCCAAAAACCTATTGAAATAAAAACAATACAGTAAAATTACCAATACAAGTACTGTAGCTACATAGCTGATGAGAGGAATAAGCTCTCTTCTTTGAAGGAAAAAGATTTGTGCTAGAAACAAATTCTGCTTAAATTTGTTCTTAAAAATGTAAGGTCATAAACTCATTTAATGATCAAAAGGATTTAAGAAGATTCTAGAACAGGTTTCACTGACTGGGGAAAAGACTCATGACTGTTGAGTTGGAAGGAGCAACAGAGGTCACTTAGCCCAATTTCCACTCCGCTGAGACTTCCCTCCTTCACTATCCCTGAAGCACTTCAGTAGAGCATTAGTGAAGGCCTGACCCATGGAAGCCAACTTTCAAGGAAAGGCAGTGGCCTCATAGGTGATACTGTTTTTAGGAAGGCGGGTCTTTTAGGTCTCATCTTTGTAAATGAAACAAGGATCATTATTCATTACCAAGGTAAAAAGCACTATCCACCATTTTCAAGGGATGAGTCATTCCGCAGGATGACAGGCGCTGTGTAGATGACATCTGGGTACAAGTCCTATCTTTTTAAACTTTTTGTACACAAGAGACTGAAAGCAAAACAGAGCCTGGGCAAACTGATCTTGAAATTGTGCACTGTTCTACTTATGAGTTTCAGGAGAACAATCAACACCACCCACAAAAATCTTGATTGCCATCAGTGTTATACATCAGAATGTTAGGTGCGATCTCGGCATCACACTTGCGAAGCTCTGCCTTCACGAGGTTCACCGCCCATTCCTTCCTCACCTCAGCCTTCCCGGAGTAGCTGGAGACGACAGGCGCCTCCCACCTACGCCCGGCTACATTGTTTGTGTTTTTAGTATGAGACGGGTTTCCACCGTATTTAGCCAGGATGATCTTTGGTCATTTTTTTTTAAAGATTCTTTGATGCATTATTTAGCAGAAACTTTTATACTCTAAATATATTTTAATTAATTTTCTTTAA